TATCACATCATTAAGAGTTTTCAGCCACAGCAGTGTTAGACAAGAAAGCCTGTTTGTTCCTGTATGGAGGTGTTCTTGGCAACTTCCTGGCTGCTGCTCAACATGGATTATTGATTCTGCGATCAAACCTGTTATCTTGCTCTTTTCTGTTGACATGCTTCAATTTTGTTGCTTACCAAGAAAAAGAAAAGCAGATAAGAGTGAAAATTTCTCATGAAGCTAGCTGTAGTTAATGTTACCAAGGTTGCTAATATCATTGAAAAATGTGGGAAAAACAAAGCAATCGAGCTGCCTGTTGTGCATCTTCTTTTTGGTTGGTGTTTAGCCAAGTTTTGATAAATTTCTTCTTGCAGGCTTTGGCGATAAAGATTTGCAACCGGGTCTGTCAATGGGTGAAAGATGTGGAAAACGAAATTTTTTTGTTGGGAGCAAGCCCGTTTTCATGGTGATTCTCCCCAAATATGCCGTACACAGAGTATGTACTTTACTTGTGTTTCCTTAAAATAAAATTTTCCCCCATTTTTTGACAGTACCTGTGTAAAATTTTACTTGTATTTCCGTAGCTGTGATTGTACCTCTTTACAAAGCCACAAATGCATATTACATAACAAGGATTTGTATCACTTCGTTTTTGGCTTTTGTATTCGAGAAGAGTTGGAAAATTTATTTATATCAAAGGCATTTTCTTAGAGGTAATACTTTTTCATCTTTTGCTCTTTTCTTTATTTGTTTTCTGTTTTGGAAAGGGCGGGGGAATGTAACTGTGTTATTTGCAGACATTGTTTGTTAACTTTATCATTCTAAGTCCATTAGATTGACAGTAGAACTCACCATTAGTTGGGATCTATTATCAATTAATAGTTATGATCCATCATGTCAGCAAATAATGTCAGTAAATTAGATATAAATAGCATTAAGAAAAGAAACGAAAAGAGTTACTTGTGCTTCTATTCTTTTGAAAATTTTGTCAAACTCAAGAGGCTAAAATCTTTATGGACATTTTAATGATTTCGAAAGTCAAATTTCATCAACTTCGGAGTTAAAAAAAAAAAGAAGATGTTTCCCACTAACAATGGATCTGATGGTGAAATTGGACGTTCATATCATAATTGCCGATTATTGACCATTAACCCCCTAAAAAGTATAGTTCCACATCATCGCGAGTATGAACTATTGGACTATTGGTGTAATCTTACTTCCTCGAGTCGACCCCATGGAGATTCCTAGGTCCCATGACTCGAAAATCATTTTAGTCAAAAGAGAGCACAAATTAACCATTATAGCTTTGCAACAACAAAACCAGTGAAGACCTTTTGCAGCATGGTCTATTTTCTCTGCCAAAGCAATCGTGGCGGGGTTGACTTAGAGCAAGTAGAGTCATTTTTTCTAAATTCATCTCACATGTCTTAAAGTTCGAGTCTTGTAATAGACGTCTTGAACTTATATCTGATCCATTGATTGTAAAACTTGTCGATCATCATCATCATCACCCTAGTCTTTTTAATCCTTCATTGCAGGTTCCTAGTGATGAGACTGGGAGGGCTTGAAACCAAGCATACACGGCCTCGAAGGGGAAATGGTTGTGCTCGCATACTAGCAATCCATGAATGCAGCTTGGAAATGGTTATGCCCGGTGGGTGAAATAGCCGAGCTGGTCGGATTTGAAATAATAACAAATACCCGTTCATATCTCGAATTGAAGTTCATAAATTATTCTCTCCAAAATTAAGGTGAAAATTGTAGGTGGGATCATGGTGATAAGCTTGGTCTCGTGAAAACGGTAAAATAATAATTTAAACTTTGTGAAGTCAAATCATGGTGTAATTTGATTTATTATTGCAGGAGCTACCGTATAACAACCACCCACCACAATGCCTTATTCAACATGCATCATAATGCTAGTACCTCCACTAATGAGTTTCAATCATTTGTGAAATGACATCATGGCCCGATGATTATTATTGTTATCATCAACAACAACAATCTAATAACAAGTCCATAAATGCAATTTCAATTTGATCCTCTTTAATATATATATATATATTTTTTCTTTAGTAGATTTACTTTGATTTAAATGGAATTCATTGTATTTAAACAGATCTTGGTGGATGATCATCGTCAATTTATATTTTTTCTTTTTCTTTTTAGTCAATCTACCTTTAAGTGGGACTCATTGTAGTTAAATAGATCTTTTACTTATTAATGGGGGATAATTTGTAAAGAAAAATGAAGAAAACAAACGTTGGAGAAGATATGAATTCAGGGCAAGTACCTGTCATGAATTTCTTCTTGTCTAATCGGCTAAAATGAAAAGGGGGTCACATGGCATCCAACTTAAATAACTTATTTTTGTCTACACTAAGGAAAAAATTAGTTAATGTGTGCGTAAATTGGTCTGGACATTCTTAATCATTTAAAAAAAAAAAAAAAAAGGAGTCGCGTTTGTGCAATTAGAAATTGTGGCATACAGAACGAAAAATATATTTTAAACTATGCATTACGTTCTTTTGTTTTAGAACATGCAGAGAATAGAAGTGGGATGGGGGGAAAATGAACGATTAATATGGGTGGTTGAAAGTATCCATAAAAAAGAGATCAAAGTGAAAGTGAAAATCTTAAGTTGGTGAACGTGTCTGTGTGTACCAACGACTTTTTAGCTCAAGGTAAAAATTCAAAGTTTTTCACTCAATACTGGAATTTGAATCTTCATAATTACAATAACTCGTTAGGGTTAAATCTATTTTTCAGCGGTTGGATCACACGATAGGACCTTAGCTTCAGTCCTGATGTAAGTACGATAAGGTCTCCTATAGAAAATTGTGTGATATTGAGAAAGAATACTCTTTTACCGATACGTGGAATAATTAAAAAGTCTAATGTATGTGTCTCTCATAAGTAGAGACCGGATGCATAACTTTACCCTCTTTTAATATTATGAATTCAAATCCCTCAAGTACACTTTTCTTGCAACTTCACTTAAAAGAGACCATTGATCGTATGTTGGTATGGGGATCCACTCATATATAACAATTTCATTTGAGTTTATTTGTGCATAATCTATCCTAAACAAACGTTGAAAAACATGTATCATAACAAATTCAAATCTTAAATATATATTAGCGTAGATAGCAATAAATGATGTTATTGTAGCGAAAGTGGACCAAAAATTTTAGGAGCAATATTATTGGGACCTAATTTGTTGACTTAATTTATTGTGATCTTTGAATTTACTGTAAACTTCATCCAATATTAGAACTTGGTGTTGATCTAATAATTCCTATGAAGTTACATCACTATGTCAACAAATTAGATTAAATTTTTAGGTGTAAATAGTATTACTCAAATTTTAATTCCTAATGTAATGGTACCTAACAAGACTCTAGAGGATGAGGAAGACACAATCATTTTGAAGGTGAATGAAAACTTTGGAGGATTAGGAAAATAAGTTTGGTTCGTTTGGATTCAAGTTTATTGGGCGATTTTTTCATTAATATTTTGGATAAAAATAATTTTTATCAGCACCAAGGAAAAATTAAAAAATAGGGTTTACCCCTTACATCTTTGTTAAAGAAAATAAGTGAAAAATAAATTATTATTTAAAATATAAATATTAAACGATTAATACTTAATTTTTGATATTATTGGGTAACTTCAGAGATGAAGTTATTACTAATTAAAAAGTATGATTGATTATATAGTCAATTTAGGTGGAGAAAAAAAAAGTTGGGGTACAATGCATAAGAGGAAGTTTGGTGCCCGAAAAAAGAGACTATAATAATGAATGAATGAGTCAAGATATCCCTCCTCTAGTACTTACAAGTTATTATTACATCATAGACTAATTTATTTGAAAAAATTGCACATATTTGGTCTAATAAATAAGAAATTACATCAATCAAAAATACTTTTACCTCTAAATTACTAGTTAATCTGAACTCAACCACTAATTTTGTGAAGTCCTATTGTCACCACGGAATCTAATCTAGTTAACAGATATTAAAAATAAAATACACAAAACAACTTTTATATTTTGTTTAAGGTTTTAATGAAAATTAGGGATGAAATTAAATGGTAAACTATAAGACTGATAATCGAGCCGAGTTTGTCGATTGTTTTTTTGAACGAGCTTAATAAATTGTTCAAACTTGGTTCGTTTAGAAAATGAGTAGAACCCAGTCCAAAACAAGTTGAACTTGAACTCAACTCAAATAATTCAATTATTTTATATATAAATGAGTCGAGTTTTGTAATATTGAATTGAGCTTTGTAGGCTCATTTTTTTAAACAAAATTAAAAAAAATTATTCAAGTTCTAATCATTTAAAATACTAACCAAACTTAAATCGAACTTAAACCAAATCCGAATGGCTTGGCCCAATTATGAGCCTTAGTCAACTGTGGTTTATTTCACTAAATACTTTATCAAAAAAAAATTCTCAAATTGATTTACCAAATTAATGAGAAGTATGTGATGCGTGGATTTTATTAAAAAATAACAAGGATGATTTATATTGATTTAATAAACTAAAAAAAAACATATTTCAATGTACCAAAAAATATAAATAAATAAATAAACTAAAAAAAATTGATAAACATTTTTTTGACGAAGTATACCATCCATGCACAGCACGCGATTCAGTTGACTACAACGGTACGACCCCATGAAAAAGGCATTAAATATTCCCCAATAATTAACAACTCCAAAAAAAACCACCACCTTTACTTCTCTCTTGCATTTCCCTCCCCCCCCCCCTCTCTCTCTCTCTCTCTCTCTCTCTACAACGTCACTTTCTCTCTCTATATAGCTCCTTGCGTCCAGTCCCCAACCTCCAATCACCGTAATCTTAAAGCCATTGATCTCTCGCATAAAACCCAACTTTTTCCTATTTCAACCCTCCCCGAATTCCTTCCCGGCGGATTCATCGCCGTGAAAAAAGTCCGAACTTTTTCATGGATACGTAGATATCACTCGCACACATATATACAGAGAGATAAGGAGAGATGTACAAGAACCAGTTACAAGAGCTAGCGCAGAGGAGCTGCTTCAACCTGCCCTCGTACACGTGCATAAGGGAAGGTCCGGACCACGCGCCGAGGTTCAAAGCCATTGTCAACTTCAACGGAGAGACCTTCGAGAGTCCCCACTACTGCTCTACTCTCCGGCAAGCTGAGCACTCGGCGGCCGAGGTGGCTCTCAACTCCCTCTCCGGCCGCGGACCTTCCCACTCGCTCGCCGCTAGAATTCTCGTAAGTAACTATTCTTTTTTTGTTTCTCTTCTCTGGCCGCTCTTTTAGGGTTCCGTTATGCTCTTTGTTTGTCTCCGTTAAGTCTCACGGCCTTCGATCTCCATTCTTAGTGATCAGTCTAGAACTTGATTGGCAAATTCAGCTAAACAGCTCCTAACTCTGCTAATGTGCGCCTGTGTGTTAATTGAGCTCCTCTTACAATCTTTTGCTAATGTGCACCTTGTGTTACTTGCGTTCTTGAGTTTGTTTTTTCTTTGCCGGTGAGTGGTTGCCACTTGAGTGACGAAGTGCTAAAAGGGTAGAGTGTCATCGTGCGCATATGTATACCAGCCGCCGGTGGATTAATGAGTCTCTTGACCGGAGTTGATTGCCGGTTTGGAGATGGACAGATACATTGGGTCTCGGTTTTACTTTGAAATGACCAAAATGCCCTTCGCCCTTTTCGGGTTCTGATTGTAAAGAAGTGGGCTTTTCTGACCAACCGACGAATTGCGGCATCTTTAGGAGTTTTTTTTTTGGGTAAATTTTAATTTAGGAGGGTTTTTTTTTGGGGTAAGTAAAATTTAATTTATGGAAAACTGGGTAATTTAGGAGAGGGCCCACGTTAAGTTGGTATGCCTTTATATAACAGAAAAAAAAACATTCAATGGAACAATAATATAACGGTGATATCGTATCACTATTATCATGTCAATAATGCTAACAAAATATCACCACCTAATAATAAAACTTCAATCGGATAAATTGAATCTCACTTGAATAGTTATTAACTTATATTGAAGAATTCGTTATTGTCTGTGCCTGAAGGTACAAAATAATAAAAAATAGTAAACAATAAACATATTTGTATTCATATCTAAAATTAAATCACAAACATAAAGAAAAGATAAAGAAATTTAAGCATTAGTTTATAGTGGGGGTGAGAGATGGTGGGCGGCAGTGATAATGGTAAGAGACGGTGCTGGTTGTGATGGGTGACAATGATCGTGGTAGCAGTGGTGGTGAGGGCGACAGTGGTGGTGGCGGCCATGGTAGTGGTGGTAGTGGGGCAGTTTCAAACACTATTTTTTTTAAAAGTATTTATGAGAAATAATTTTTAAAAGTACTTTTAAAAAGTCACTCCAAACACACCCTTAATACCTATTTTTTCTATTAAATTTAGAGTGTTAATATTAACCGTTAGATTAACTTTAAAGCCTAAAATTTAAGTTTAGGGTGTTAATATTTGTTTACCTTTTAAAATTTGAATTGTAAGCTACTTTATTATATGGATAGTGGGTAATTATCGACTTATATGGACCGATAATTATTAATTTGTGTATGGTCCATTTTCTTAATTATTTATACATTATTAATTGGTGATATAACATTGACGTGATATCGCTGTTGCAATCAATATTTTCTCCAATAGGAGGTGTTTTGGGTGGTCTTCTGGCTTTTAAATAATGTAACTAATTCCATAAATGAAGGGTGTTTAGTCATGAAAACTTTGGTGGTTTTTAATGCCTAGACGAGGTTGCGTGGTCTTTGGCTTCTCCACGGTAGTCTGAATCAAGAAGCTACCTCCCCTGTTCCATTCAAAGAAAATTCCAGAGTGTCAGTTACAGAATTGTGGGTGGGTGGGTGAGACCCTTCAAAACACTACTATCTTTTTCTTTGCTTTTTTAATCAAATTCAAAGTGATATCTGAACGCAGTGAAACAAAGTTCTGTCAATTTTAGTGTGGGCTTTGCATTAATGTACGTTACGAAATTGGAATACAATTAGTGTTGATTGAACTAATATGATAAAGACCCACCATGGAAATTGCAGACTTTTGTGTTTCTTTATTGTATATAAAACGTCATAATAAGTACTGACTACATGGAAATGATGGACATTGGTGAGTAACTACGAATATTTTCAGCTCTTATTTTTTTTTTTCAAATTCAAATTTAAATTTGAGTTAAAATAATTCAAAAAGCCTTTTCAATTATATACTCAAACTCATATCAAATTAAGGTATACTCAATTTTTTACTCAAATCATCGGTGATTAAATTTCATTCTCCTTTAAAAATTCAATGGATATATTTTAATTTCCTTTAAATTTGAGTTTATTCATTGGAATCCTTTGTATCAAATTAATGTATCTATTTTTTATTTTTATTTTTGATTCAACGGTCATGCTAATCCCTCTCCCGTTTGATCAAAAATAGGTCATTTAAATTGGAATTAAGATATTCACGAGAGATAAATCTCTCATGATATAGTATAAGGAGTTGTCAAGATTCGAACTAAATTTGTTACTAGACGAAAAAGAGAAGGTGCAATAAAATAAAATCCCTAAAAAAAAGAGGGATTATAATAATCACGTTTTGCCTTTAGAAATATTGCCCTCAAAATGTGGCATTAATGTTGAAATGAGCAATTTTCAGCATAGCACATGTAAGAGAAGTATATGTGAGCAACCTTACAAATTTATAGTCTTGTCCCCCTCCATTTAATATGTCTGCTCATCTAGCTGCAACATCCATGTGACTGTCCACTTGTTTGAGTAATTCACCGACTGATGCCATCCATTGACATGACCTAAAGCACCGTACTTATGTTATGCCTGTTGATTTGGACTGTGTAATATGATCTTGTTTCATAGCAGCACCGAATTTTTGTCTTTTGATTTGCACTGTGTGTGTAATGTGTTCTTGTGTTGTTGCTCATATATACTTGCCTCTTTTTGGAATAAACTCTTGATTTGAATAGAATTCTATTGGGTACGTAATTAATTACATCTTGCTGCTGCACTGATTTATTATTCACACATCTGCTTAGTTTAATCCTTCATTCTCATTTTAGCATGCGCTTCATTCATGATTTAGTTATGTTTTTTTTGGCGGAAAGCCTTTAACTCTTTTAGCTTTCGATTTATGTAGCTGGTGGATCATATGGTTCAGGGTCGTTTTTCTATACAGTTTTAGCAGAATAAATGCTTCTTGCTGCATTGGGACAGCCTTTAGCATGTCTTTGTTCACCTGGGACAGGTTGTAGAATCCATTGATCTTTTTGATGACTTTCAAATTCCACATTATACTCAATTAATAATGTCAAATCCACGGCAATCTATAACTAAACAGTGTCCAACGAAAAAGTAAAGCCTTTATTTAGCCTTCAAGAAGTAATTGCATTATCCTACATTCACTTTCAGGAAAAACTAAACTATCACCAAAAATTTAGAACATCAAATGCAGCCCACAAAATGGATAAAGGCCACACAAGGAGTCAGATAGGGCGACCCCCTATCCCCTTATTTGTCATTTTGTGTATGAAACTTCTCTTCCCACTCTATTGAATAGGTTGTGGAAATGGGAAAATGGAAACCAATCCAGGTGGCTCAAGGGGGAGCAAAAATTTTCGTATGTCATGTTTGCCGATGATCTCCCACTGTTTGGGGGAAACATCAGATGAAAATTACAAAACCATAAAGGAGACATTAGAAAAAATTCGATTGCATTTCGGACCAAAAAATCAATGGGAATAAGTGTAAGGTATTTTTCTCACCAAACTGTGCAGTTGAGGATATTAATAGATGGGCTGCAATTTTAGTCCGATCACAACTAATTTGGGTAATTTTCTGGGTTTCCCCCTGCTCCATAAAAAACCCAATACAAGAACTTTCCAATTCCTAATTGACAAAGTAAGGAATAAACTAAGTGGTTGGAAGGCCAAATTTCCTCTCCCTCCCAAGAAGAGCCACACTGATCACATCGGTCATTGCATTCATCCCCCAATACTATATGTAGACCATGAAATTTCCAAAATTCATTTGTGAGGAAATTGATAGACTTAACAGGAACTTCTTGTGCGGGTCACGGATGAGAAAAGGAAATTGGATTTGTTGAATTGACAGCAAGACACTAAACCAAAGAGGTATGGGGGACTGGGCCTGGAACAGAGTAGTCTAAAAAACAAAGTGGTCATGGTCAAACTCAAATGGAGATTCTTACACGAGAAAGATAAGCAATGGGCCAAGATTCTAGAAAAGAACTACTTGGACCATGTTGGGAATGCGAAAAGAAAATCACACTCTTACACCTGGTCTAATATGAAATTAGGCCAACCCATTCTTTTTAAAGGGGTGAAATGGGTTATCTGGAATGGAAGAGTCACCAATCTATGGGGAGATAATTGGGTGGGACAAAGTAGTTTAAGAAGTCCACTCCACGAACCTCTCAACCGGGGATATAGTACACTTACGGTGAACCTTATTCTAAATCCAAATGGAACATGGGTTCTGGATAGATTGTTCTTCCCAATTCCTAGGGAATTAACCCAGAGGATTCAAGCCATACCTACCTGGAGAGACCTCGAGGAACCGTATAGTTGGGTGTGGGGAAACACTACGTTAGGACTGTTTCACTCTAAATCAGCCAACACTTTATCACTACTGGGATCACTTGAGGCTGATAGGGAAGGGTCTTCGAAATGGATATGGACTCTAAATGTAGGACCGCGAATACAACACTTTATATGGTTGGCATGTCAAAATAGAATAGCTACAAAGAAAGTGTTGTATAAAAAGAAAATTACCTAGGACTAGTCATGTCCACTTTGCCAACAAGGAATTGAAGACACCAGTCATGTTCTAATGAAGTGTGACTTAGCCAAATGGGTTTAGACCCAAGTAGGGTTCCCGACTGAACTAGAACACACATTTTCCCAAACCCTTGATATATGGCTGAAAACCAATGGAACCTTACACCTCATGTCCACCAAACATAATATTCCATGGGCCACATTGTTCTTACCCACATGCTCTAGCCTCTGGTATTACCGCAATCAGATGGTATTCCAAAATAACCAGGTCACCCCACTTTCCATTGCTCAGCAAGCTATTTCTAGAGAAGCTGAGTGCCACTTCTTTCAAACCGGAAACACCAGGCCACTCTAATCTGAGCAACTGTTGGGCTGGAAGCCCCCGACAGCTGGATGGGCCAAGTTAAATACGGATGAGGCAGCGCAAGGTAATCCAGGCCCAACGGGTGCCGAATGGATTATCAAACATGAGATGGGCAAATCATTGTGGGTGTGGGCTTCTTTGAACATATCGGGCTGTCTACCAGCTTAGCAGTGGAATTGTAGGCTTTTCGATTGATCGAAAAGCCTACAATTCCACTGCTAA